TCGAAATTAAAAAAACTGAGATCACACTTTTTTGCACACTCTTTTAGTTATATCAGTTTAAAAAAAAAAAAATATTTGCTTTCGAAAAATGGTACCTAAATGTCAAAATTGTAGTTTTTGGTAAAATTATGCCACTTCCGGTGCCGACAGATAACTCTATCGGTAACAAAAAAAATGACAATTGAGTCAACGGAGCATAGGAACTTTGTTTTATACAAATCGAACAATAAATAATTAATCTAGGACTGAAAAAATGAATTAGCCAATGCCAGCCAAGGAAAATTACTGAGACAAAATTTTTTCACATTTTTGCTCAAGTCAGATGACTCTTTAATTTTGTGTAAAACACGACTAAAAAATATTCATAAATAAAAAAAATTTTTGTAAAAATTTAAATTTTCTAAATTTGGTGCCTGATATCTGCGAAGATTTGCCGAAATTCAAAAATCAAAAGTAGCCTAGCTATGTGCCCTGTCTCTGGCTATGCCAAAATGTATCAAAAGATAAAATCCAACGATTATTGTTAAAATTACTGCAATATTTCTAAAAACGATAGCTTAAGTGATTTCGGACATTTCGCATTGTCGCAGAAACCCTAATCATCCCCATGTAATCTTAGAAGTAAACCAGAATTAGATGAAATATTCTGCAAAACATCTATTACAATTCATTCTTTCCATCAGCTATCCAACTCTGGAACAGCCTAAATTCGTCCATAACAAATGTCTTATCACTCTCAAAATTTAAACAAGAACTCTCCAAACATGACCTGAAAATATACTATTCAAAAAAAGTAGGGGATATTTGATTTTGGGGGCATAATACTAAAATATGCAAATGACTACGAAAAAAGTCACTATAGAACCTAACAGAAGAAACATTTCCAGTTACATGTGACGCCCAAATGCACCAATAGCTACCGCATGGAATGCAGGTGATGCTTGGGATCATCATGGGGGTCCAACCCAAGATTTGCACGACTCTGACTTTGAATGTTACAGTCATTGTGGCATTGAATTCCAGGGTGGAAACATCAGTTTAATTGTTTTAGTGACCAGAAAACAAATTTTGATATGCGTCGGCTTACCCAAAATGAAAGGTTACGTGCCCTTGGCATGCTACAGATCGGCACAACACAGGCGGTTGTGGCGCGGACGATGAATGTTTCTCAGTCTGTCATAAGCAGACTATGGTCCAGATACCGTGATACACAATCTGTACAGGACAGACCACGCTCAGGTCGACCAAGGGCGACAACTCAAGCCCAGGATCGATTTATCCGTACCTTGGCCTTGAGAAATCGTGTCATCACAGCAAATCAGATCAGCGCTCGTCTTCAAACAGACACTGGTGTGAGAGTGAGTGGCCAGACGATTCGGAATCGACTGCATAGGGGTCACCTTCGCGCCCGACGTCCTCGCGTGATCCCTTGTTTGAGAGATCATCACATTCAGGCAAGACGTCGTTGGTGTAGGGATCGTCAACACTGGGATAATCGACGCTGGAGCAATGTGATGTTTTCAGATGAGTCAAGGTTCACTGTTGATTTTTTGAACAGACGTAGGAGGGTGTGGCGTCGTCAAAACGAGCGCTTCCAAGACGTTAACGTCATCAGACATGATCGATTTGGGGGTGGTTCTGTTATGGTGTGGGGAGGCATCACTGTTGCTGGAAGAACGGCTTTACATGTTGTTGCAGGGCGTGTTACAGGCCAGTACTACCGGGACAACATCTTGGCAGTCCATGTTGTGCCGTTCGCACGACGTCATGGCCGCCGTTTCATCTTCCAGGATGACAACGCAAGATGTCACAGGGCCAGGATTGTTACAGGTTACCTCCAACAACAGAACATCACCACATTACCTTGGCCAGCACTGAGTCCCGACCTCTCCCCCATCGACCATGTCTGGGACATGCTTGGACAGAGGTTACGTCAACAACGTCCTGCCAATGTCCAAGAACTTGCTGCTGCATTGCAACAGGAATGGGACAATCTGGACCAAAATGACCTTAGACGTCTCATTAGGAGTATGCCACGTCGGATCAATGCTTGTTTGGCAAACAGAGGAGGATTTACCCGTTACTGACTTGGTTGTGATGCTGTGGTAACTTTGCTGTTTGACCCCGGGTATCATTTTACCCTTATAATGGTCAGTCTGTGCCTTACTTAGTCTAACGATCATTTGGAATAAATCGATGAATGTGAACTTCATTTCATTTTGTCATTTGTTTCTTCATCAGTTTCATTAGGTGACTTTAATAACACTTAAAAATCAAATATCCCCTACTTTTTTTGAATAGTATACCTCTCTTTTATTATATTGGCAAACTTAAAAATCAAATTATACATACTAAACTAAGACTAGGCTGCAGTAATCTAAACTTTCATAAATTTAAAATACCTCTCTTTTATTATATTGGCAAACGTAAAAATCAATTATACATACTAAACTAAGATTAGGCTGCAGTAATCTAAACTTTCATAAATTTACAAGACATATTTCAAATACTCCTGAATGTTTATGTGGTAATACAATAGAAGATCCTTATCACAATCTTCTTATATGTTCCTTGTATTCAGATGCTCGCCATAGAACAATTGACACTCTACCTCTGACACAGCAAAACATTAAAGTGCTACTATATGGATTGGAAACAGTAACATACAAAGAAAAACGTGTCATTATTTAACCAGGTGCATAATTTCATTGAAAAAAAACCGAAAGATTTAAATTTTAAAAAATTAGCGACTTTTAATTATTTCAAATTTATGTTTACATGTAAATATTTTTATGGGTTATTATGTGTACACACACACATATATATATATATATATATATATATATATAAAATTTCCTTCTTATCTATTACTTTTTTCTTTGTTTTTCAATCTATTGTAATTTATTTGTAACTGGGAGAGGGGTTTATATATAGGGTTTATATAGGCTTCGCCTGTTCCCCAATCCCCTCAGTTTCTGAATAAATATTGTTTATAAAAAAAAAAGATAGTTGCCAGGCAACGAAACATACGCCCACAGCAGCTATATCGTCCGGGCAGTCAACAAGAGTTGTCGCATATTTTTACTTTTTTCGGTAATGAAACATTTATAATACATTAAAATCTGATTAAGAGTAACAACTCATTAAGTAATTATAAGAAAACCATTAGAATTTGTTTGGTTTTTATAAAGTTCTGCCCCATGCTAACATTTAGTATACGAAACTTTTAACATCATGGATTTAGCTGTTCAAGTCATAAAAATTCATTGAAAATCTCAAGACCTTAAACTCTGTGTATCAATCTGAAGTCAATCGGATGATAACTTTAGCCTCTAGAGCGTCACAAGATTTTTCAAAGTGATCAAGGGCCATAACTTTGGCAGAAATTATCGGAAATTGTTGAAAATCAATATGATTCTCTGTCTCATGACCTCAAACACTGTGTATAAATTTAAAGTCAATCGGAAATTAACTTTAGCCTCTAGAGCATTTACAAGATTTTTTGAAGTGATCAAGGGCCATAACTCTGGCAGTAATTATAAAAAAATCACTGAAAATGAATAGACTTCTTCGTCTAATGACATTAAACACTGTGTATCAATTTGAAGTCAATCGGATATTAACTTTAGCCTCTAGAGCGTTCACAAGATTTTTCAAAGTGATCAAGGGCCATAACTTTGGCAGAAATTATCGGAAATTGTTGAAAATCAATATGATTCTCCGTCTCATGACCTCAAACACTGTGCATCAATTTAAAGTCAATCGGAAATTAACTTTAGCCTCTAGAGCATTTACAAGATTTTTTGAAGTGATCAAGGGCCATAACTCTGGCAGTAATTATAAAAAATCACTGAAAATGAATAGACTTCTTCGTCTAATGACATTAAACACTGTGTATAAAGTTAAAGTCAATCAGATATTAACTTAAGCCTCTGGAGCGTCCACATGATTTTTCAAAATGATCAAGGATCATAACTCTGGTAATAATTATCGGAAATCGCTGAAAATCAATAGACTTCTTCGTCTCATGACCTTAAACACCGTGTATAAATTTAAAGTCAATCGGATACTAACTTTAGCCTTTAGAGCGTTCACAAGATTTTTCAAAGTGATCAAGGGCCATAACTCTGGCAAAAATTATCAGAAATCACTGAAAATCACTAGGATTCTTCGTCTCATGACCTTAAACACTGTGTATCAATTTGAAGTCAATCGGATATTAACTTTAGCCTCTGGAGCATCGACAAGATTTTTCAAAGTGTTCAAGGGCCATAACTCTGGCAGTAATTATCGGAAATCGCTGAAAATCAATAGGCTTCTTCGTCTCGTGACCTTAAACACTGTGTATAAATTTAAAGTAAATTGGATATTAACTTTGACCTTTAGAGCGTCCACAAGATTTTTTGAAGTGATCAAGGGCCATAACTCCGGCAATATTATTGAAAATCGCTGAAAATCAATAGGCTTCTTCGTCTCATGACCTTAAACACTGTGTATAAATTTAAAGTCGGATATTAACTTTAGCCAATAGAGCGTCTACAAGCAATTGTGGACGCCGGACTGACGGACGGACGGGGGCGACAACAATATACGACCACATTTCAATGTGGGCGTATAAAAATATCTTGATGTCCGACTGGGCATATTCCTGGACAAACATTTGCCAACTTGCTAAATGCTTAGGACATGTTCAGCATATACAGGCAAAACAGCATCCATGGGTTGTTGTGATGTCGGGTAGAAGTGTTGTGATATCATCACAACATGATACCAATCAGCCATTATACTAAATACAGGAATGTAGATTGATAGTTTTAGTGGAGTTCATCAAGCATTGTCAATAATGGGTGGGGTGACCCCATGGTAAATTAACCTAGTAGTTCTGTAGACTTGTAGGGGTGTCAAGCAAAAGTTGTGTGTATGGCGATGTGGTACCCCCCACCCCTACCTCCTTATCTTCATTGACCCAAAATAATTAAATGAATAAACAAATTACTTACATTAAAGAAATGTTTCCTTGAATTGAGATAGGATATTCCCATAAAAAACTCCATGGGAGGCATGATAGCATATGTATCTGGAACAAAAACAAACACATAATATAATTCAAAGATTATTACACTTCAATAATTGTAATGTAAAAACTGTGTGATGGAATTCATTATAAAACTTGACTAATTAATATGTTTGTTTTAAATAGTTGGGAATGGGAATATACCCTTGTAGATACCATTAGGTGATCCTCTACATGTTTTCATTTCTATAGACTGATGTAATTCGAATGGCAATATAACCTAGTAAATACCATTTAAAAGTGAAAGTGTTCAATCTACATTTATTATTCATTAACCTTACCATCACTAGATATTTTCTTGAAATATACGCTGGTAAATACCCCCAGTGTCCAATCTCTATCTATATATATTAGTCCCTAGTTATACCATCATTAGATCAACACTGGGATTATGCCTTAGTATATACTCTCCGTGTCCAATCTCTATCTATATATACTAGTCCCTAGTTATACCATCATTAGATAAACACTGGGATTATGCCTTAGTATATACTCTCCGTGTCCAATCTCTATCTATATATATATTAGTCCCTAGTTATACCATCATTAGATAAACACTGGGATTATGCCTTAGTATATACTCTCAGTGTTCCATCTCCATTTATTAGTCCCTAGTCTTACCCTCATTAGATAATTTCTGAATTTCTTTTTCTGTGTCAGTTTCTTTTTCTTTGAACAACATATCTGCCTTTCGTGCTATAAACTGATTCAAACGAACTTGAAAATTTCCATCTCTAAAATCACAAAAGAATGATAACCTTTAAAATTTCTAGTAACCATGATAGACCTTGGGTCCTCTTTTAGGAAAATATTTAAAGATAAAGCATTTTCACTGGTCACAAGATAAATTCTCTTAACCAATCAAATGAAATTATCTCTAAAATATTTAAGTTTTGAGGACAATTTAAAAATGCAAAATGTGGATGTGTATTTTGTTTAGCTTATGCTACAGAACAACATCCATAATATTTATGTTTAGTTGTTACATATATACCTGTGTGTGTGGGTGGGTGGGTGTGGGTGTGGGTGTGTGTGTGTGAAACTTACCATCAATATATCAAAGTATAAAATGCTATTCAATGCAAAATTTCATAGTTCTTTATTTATCATTCTGATCATTTAAGCCCTGGCATTTTTTTAAATATTCTAAAATTAATTGTTTTCAAATCAGCTATGAATTGCCCTTAAATCTGATTTTTCCGTTATTTATTGTAATTGTTGAGGTCAATCATCTGCAATAAAAATAAAAGTAATTGAGGTATATTGCAATGAAATAATAACTTAATAAGGATTTTATTAACTAGCAAAGCCTTTCAAAAACATGCTTCAGATACAGTTTCCAGAAATTACTTACCATTTGTGCTTTAAGATCGCTTGTAGTTCATTGAAACACTACGATCTATGTATGAAATGTACAAAGTCTTTTTTTTTCTCTTTCTATATTCTTTTCCAAGATTACAGTACTTTCTTCTTCCCATATTACAACATTGTTTTTGAAAAATGTAGAAAAATAAATTTTTAGTTTATTTCTGTTATAATTTTACATCTTCTGTGGAAATATGTAACTGCACTGCTTCTGCTGTCTTACTGTATCATTTGTTTTGTCTATATTTTCTTGTAAAGTTTTCCTGCGCTTTTTATTAAACATACATTATGCAAGAGCTAAATCTGTCTATTGCAGGTCTTTCTTTCGGCCTGAAATGTTATCTAAATTATTAATTAGATATTAAATAACACTAGGGACCGGGTATCATTCAGATTTGATGAAAAAAGGAAAGAAACTGAGCTTACCATCTATAATCTAATACACATATTCAGTTAATAGATTGCCATGCAGAAAGTATTAAATACCATCAAGATTCATCAAATAACGCCCAGTTTGTGCTACCGTTTAGTTTAAGAAACACCATTTAGTTTTGTCATCGGTCATCTAGTTTATGACCATTTAGTTTAGTTTTGATATTGGTCATCCAGTTTATGACCATTTAGTTTCATAAACTAGACAACCGATATCAAACTAAACGGTAGCACAAACTGGGCGGTTTTTGATGAATCTTGATGGTAGTTAACACTTTCTGCATGGCAATCTATTAACTGAATATGTGTATTAGATTATAGATGGTAAGCTCAGTTTCTTTCCTTTTTTCATCAAATCTGAATGATACCCGGTCCCTAGTGTAACTTATCCAGACCATAATCAACTCTACATGGCATCGCTAGCCTGCGATCTTAAGTGGATTGTGAGCCGATTTACTGCATAACTTTCCTTCTCGATTAAACGATTAAATGGATAATCGAGACTATGCTGTTTATCACACTGACTTTAGTAATGATGACCCAAGGCTAGGCAGAAATTTCATTCGCTTAGTTCTTGGTTCATAGCGGATCAATTTGAATGAAATTTTCAGCAAATTGCCTTTACGTTATCTAGTTTTTAATCATTATAGTGAGAACTGCCAACTCGTTATCGAATCTCCCATAATGTATCTTTAAGTAGACATTCATATCATTTTCTTTTTTTGGACAGCTTTTCCTTCTTTATTTGTTTCTTTGATCTGTTTTCTGTTTTAGTTTTAATATATTCAAAATGGAATTCATAAAATTCCTAATTTCTTTCTGCTGAATAATTGAGTTTCTGGAATCTTCTATTCTATACTTTTCACAGTTTCGAATGAGTGTCCATATTTCAACACCAAGTTCATCAAGTTCTATATGAAGAAAGATTTAAAACGTAAACAAAATATTCAACTGCAATGTTTTCAAATAATGGAATTCTTCATTCTGATGGTCCTGATAGGCGAAAGACCGAAGACATTTATCGTTCAAGTTCGTTGCAACAACCTCTGTGGGAGATTTTATTTTTTTAAATTACACGTATCTTTGTACTAATTTAAAAAACATGATCTCCACACATTCCATTCGGCATGTGCCAGTATTTAAAAATTCTTTTTTAAAAATGGAATTCTTTTTAACCTAATCACCTAAAAAATAAACATTACACGCGTAGGAATACACGCGAAGTTTGTTGCCGAGTGCCATTTTGGCCAATCAAAATAAAGAAAACGTTTAGCCCCGATCCTTCAATCATGGCGTATTATAGTCAACAAGGACACATTTTTCTGGCATTCTGACCAGAAAAATGAAGTGCCTTATTCATCAGAATGCAACACAGCCCTGCAAGTTACTGGTTTTTAACGGCAACACCTGGAGGCATTGTGTGGAATATTCAAAACAGTGACAGACTTTGGATGGAGAAGAAAAAAACATTGCAATCACGTATCGAGATGTGTTCGAAGGTATGTTTGTATGTTATTATTAGTTATTTTCTTATTAATATTTTCTTAGTCTTAGTATTTAAATTTTTTCTAGGCTGTGAGTGTTCACGTTGGTTGTTGTTAAGAAATTAATAATGTACTTGTTCACAATACATGGTATCCTGCAAACCAGTGGTGGGCAAACTTTCAAGTTTTAAAACAAAACTGAAGCCTAAACTGGTGAAGGGCAAAACATTTTTATGAAACATAACTAACAAATTACATTAGTCATTAATTATAATATCAAGGGTTATGAAATATCATTTTAAATCAAGTAATATTAGAAATATGGAGTACAGCACATAATATTTAAAATTACATTCTTATTAGAATCATTTTAGTCAGGTTCCATGGAACTTTGTCAAATTTATATTCCGTCGGTGATTGGTCTAAAACAAAACCTGCCGTCTTGTGGGAGCATAGTTTGGAATAGCCTTTACAGAAAAATCAAAGGCAATTAGTCTAAGCCGTAAAAAGATCTGCAAAGATTATTGATCCTACAGGCGGAAATGCTATTTAAATAAGCAATTTTAGATTTTGATTTCATTTAGAGATTGCATTGCTCAAAAAAAAAATTCACACATGTACAGATCTATGTGGATGTAAAGACTGTCAAAATTCCACACCCACAGAGATGGCTATGGATGATAATGATGATGATGATTATAATTTTGTTTTATCTTATAGTAAAACTAATGTTTTAAATCTGTATCATTAGTCGAGTTTAAATTTTGAACAGTTTTACAATTCAAGTAATCTTTGTTAATATTGAACCTATCATTGAACTCGCTATAACATATATTAACCATAACAAATTCATTATGCATATTTTGTACACTTTAGTCTATGAATGATTTAGTATAATTATAAAATCAAAATCAACATGTTTTATTAAATTTTAAAATGACTTTGTAAAGATGTTTTTACATACCTATTGTATGCTGATTCAAGCCTATAAATTCATATCTTATCAACAGAGCTTGTACATACTGTTTTTTTCCATATTCATTAAAATCAGAACTTTTGTCAATTAAAGTCATTACAGTAATATTTAAAGGAGCTAAATCGCTAACACTTGAGACCTAGAAATTGACAAAAGTGGGTCGCAACGCATATAATACTGTAGTATGAATGTATATAAACTGATTTACATTCAATGGTTTCCGTTTTTACTCCAATTTCAAATCATCTATGTTCGGCGAAATAAGCCAGCAGTCTCAAGCGAGTGCAAATTTCTAGCGTCTGGTTATTCCAGTCTATATACGCCGTTTGATTTGGTGCAATGTGTCTAGCCTCATCCCTCGAGTCTCTTGATACAACTGGGGCTGAAGCGCATTATGGTACACAATTCGTGTACAAATGGTAAAATGTTTATTTTGTCTTAAATATTGGATATCAAAAGCCCATCTTTTTCCGGTAACATCACAACATGAATGTTGATTTAATTTGACAAATAAATCGTGTTTTCAAAGTTGAAGATTTTGGATGATATTGAGTTAGAGACTTAGCTACTTTAATGTTTAAATTTTGAACTACATGTATTAAAAATCTTAACTATTTCTTTATATATCAGACATGTGCAGCATACATATTTATTTTAGTCTATTATGGTACATTTTTTCTCAGTTGTTTGATGTTAATTATCAATGAATTAGTGTATATGTAGTGTGTACATGTGTGTGTGAGTGTACATAATATATATATATGTGTTTATTTATGTATTTGATTTATTATTGTAATTTCATTATGTTTTGATTGTAATATTTATATGTTTGTATTTTTTTATTTTTTTTTGGAGAGTGGGGTTGCCTGCTCTATAATCCAATTATCTTTAATAAATAATGTTAAAAAAAATAATTTATTTTTAAAACTCCCATAGACCGCTCCTTTGAGCAAGACCAAGTAGTCTATATATATTTTTTAAAATAGGGGAATGGACAAACAAGGGACATTTTAGCCAGTTGTTAGAACACAACCTGTATTATACCTATGCATTAATTTCAAAAAGTCATAATTTAGCAAACACAAATAACTGTCCACAAAGCATCATTTAATTGTTATTACATTGTCACACCTTATTTGGGGTGCTTTTGTGGGTATATTGATATTAAAAGGTATTTCCAACCTTATATGGAGGGTTCGGTTATTAAGCAGTGTATGGGGGGGGGGGGGGTGCTGGGCCTTGCATTTTATTTATGCATAGTTATATTATTTGGATGCTACAGTGTCGACTTTATTAGAGATAAGGAAGGGTGGGCTTAGGGGATCTATTCTAACCAGTTAATATTAGGGTGAACTCGACAATGCAAAGTATGTATGTCTACATACGCAAAGACTACAGTAGGAAGAGAGCCTCTAATAAAATATAGCTTCACACATCTTGATTGATTTTGATATTTGGCAATTATCTATATTTATAT